CCATCGACGATGTGGGAGAAACGCCTTGTTTTCACTTCTCCTTTGCTGTGTTTAGCAAAGATGTTGTTACCTTTTTGTCATTCTTGTTCAGGTTTTTGCAGGCGTCTCCTGATTGATTTCTGGTACTGTGGTTGACCCTTCTCGTTTTTTCGCAAAATTGTCTCTGGTTGTCTCTTTTTCAGTTTTTTGGGTAATTTTTTGTTTCATTTTGGTATTCATCAAACTCACTGATATTTTCTGAACTGAATGGTGGGATTAGAATTACTTGGTGTCGCCTGTGATGGTTTTTGTTGATGCATTTGCTTCTGAAGCATTTTGTTTCTTTCGATTATAGAAACACTAGTTATCATCATTTTCTACCAATTTTGCTTTCCAGAAGACCAAAAATTTTTGTCTTATCCAGTTTAATCTATTATTTTATTATTTGATACCAATCTCTAGTTAGTAGGTTTTTAATTTTCCCAATCTCTTAATACTTTTTTGACCAGTTAATTTTGTTGACGCGATATGATGCTTTTGCCAGTTTTTACCTGTCAGTTGTAATAATATCTCTTTTCATAAATGTCGATAAGTAAGTTGTATTTTACAATTTTCAACCGTCCCAAAACTCTACTTAGATAAAAACTGTCCAAAAGTGATCAATAAAAACTGCTAAGAGAGAAAGCCTTTAAAACTTAATGCCAAACTTTGCTCATGACACAAAAATGGTGGGCATGACATCATTTTGCTTTCACGCCAATTTCTATTGTCTCTCTATAACAAAAAAACGTTCAACGATACTCTTGCTCTTGAGCTGCACTCTAGTTCCTTCCGTTCAATTTTCGAATTTTCCATACTGATCCGATCCACAGGGCCTCTGGATCAGATCATTTGTCAGGCTCCCCAGTTAAAGTTCTCAATGGTTTTTGGAAATCTAAGAGCTATCAATATCAAGTGCTGACAATATCTCCAAATAAAGCAACACAATATTTCAATTTTTTTTTATCTGAACAATCAGTAGATTAAGAAATCTAAAAAAAAATTGTTCAAAGTAAAGTTCGCATTCTTTTCCGATACTCAACTTTTTTACACTCTCATTGTTTTTCTGAAGTTTCTGCAGCCGTGTCTAGTGTGTTCGATCCCGTAGTTATGATGTTGATAAAACCAAGAGCGCGATAAACACACTACGTAACAATCAAATGTGAGCTTATGAGTGATATGGTTTTTAGCCATTGGCTCAATGACCGGAGATGTGGTTCGCTTCGGACAAAGAAGTTTAAAATCGTTACATTTTAAAGGCTACTATCGGAATCTTAGATAAAAATGAGGACGCCCCCAAGGCCAGGTCTTGGGATACCTAAAACACGCAAACCAGAATTCAAACCAAATTAAAAACAGAAGTGCGTAAATCATATTACTTTGTTTTTGTTCGACAGTGTCCAGTTGATATGAATTTTTCTAAGACTCAATCTTATCTCAGCATAACTGGATATATTGAGCTGAAGTAAAAATTCATTTGCTTGAAACATAAAGGCAACTCTGGAAATAACTCCACAAAATAATCAATTTAGATTCAAAACAATTGAGCAGCTCAAGAAGTTTTATTAAGTTTAATCAGCATTCAATTTTTGGACTGTTATGTCATCGTTGGGAGGGGCTACCACTCAAAATATAGAATGGTTCATTTGTACCTGTCAACCTTCTGGACAGCTTACCTGAAATGCTCTTCGAGTCTCCTATCAGGAACAAGACATATCTACTCAAGTGTTTTTTGTAGACCAATTGCAAATAGCAATTAAGCTCAAAAAAAACTTTTTGTCGTGTTTCCCGCAATTATATTTTGGCTGCTCTAATTTTTGTCGCCTGATTTTCAGTTACTCTGACAAAATCGGGCATGACAAGCTTAACTCGAAATTTTGGAAATTTCAATCCGGAGCGAAAAAACTTGGGATTATGACCGATCGGCACATACTCCCCGGACCCAGGGTCGATGTCTCCATCGGGTGATGTTACGTGTCGTCGTCGTTTCAGAGAGCCTTCTGAATTTCGAATGATCAAGGAATCAGTGCCAGTGGTCATTTACAGCAGTTTGCCGCTCATGAAATTTAATCTTCTTCCCGAAAAAGCATGGCCTTTGATTTTGGCATCCATTTGGGTTTACGTTCTTCAGACTTTTTCATTCAGTCCATTATTGAAAATGTCGTGCAATCTTTGATATATATTTAAATATGTTCTATACTACTACTAATAAACTGCTGTTTTAAAAACTTAAGATTTTTCTGTTCCTCAGAATTTCAGTCTGAGGTCAAGTTCAACCTGGAGCCCTATTTACAAGAAATCTCTAGACCAACCAATGTTACTCCGAATCATTTGTTTAAGGTCTCATTTAATTTCACTCGGAGAAAACAGTGACCGTTGTTTGAAAGTACGGACGGAAATCAGTCGATTATGAGAGTTTTTGAAATCAACCGGTACCGTTGGACGTTGCAGACAAGCTTCTGCAGCCACCCGAGATATCCGATGGTATGACCGAGTCACTCACCGAAGCAAGTGTAAGCAACAGAAAAATGCGAGCAACTTTTTTAGAAAGACTAATACGGTAGTTTGAAAAAAAAATCTTGACGGAAGAAATTGAAAACGAAGGTGAGCAACGAAGTTGTCAAAGTTAGAGTGATAAAATTAGGTCCGTGGTGCTTTTTTTCTCGGTTTCTGCAAGCAGGTAGATCGCGCAATGGTTTAAGTTTGTCAGAGATATTGTAAGATTGTGAATTGGAAAGAGAAACAGAACGCCATACTAATCATTTTCCTGGCGGGTTCGAGTTCATGAAGTTAAAGTTGTTGAGAGGAGCCTTCGCTGACATTGAACTTCAAAGGTTACAGGCCTTCCAAGACCAAGCGAACGCGTGGTATGTTAGACGAGAAATGTGAGTTGATGGAGTTTACTCGAATAACGGCGTTCACGATTTAGTCCCCATGGGCAATCGGGCTGAAGATATTTTGAAATTTTCAGCAAGGATACCTAAAATAAATAACTAAATAGCTAAAATTTAAAAAGTAGAAAAAAAATAGAATTTAAACTTTTAGACTTGAAATACTGTAAGTGTGTGTACCCATTTTGATAATCGTCTTGAACATAGAGAGGTCGCTAAGGAAGATACCACTTACTCGATTTTGATGGTTTTCAAGTTCAATATAGGGTCTATGGCCCTTCTTCTGAACTTACTCACAATCTATTTTGCAAAAGAAGGGTTGTGCAAACTTATAGACTGTGCTGAAATAGATGAAATGAATACTTGCATCTTAATGTTAAGCCAAACCTAATATCCATCGTGTGTTTGGCGCTAGTTTGCTTCAATGATCAAATTTTTGAAGAGAGTGAAAAATATTCGTGCTCGGGGTGTATTTTATTCTCCAGACAAATTTCGACTTTACTAATACGCGATATATTTCATTTTGTTATAGCGTAAGCGGAAATTTAACCCGTCATAGAACTCGTTCGAAACTGAAATTAGGCATGCTAATTGGACTAATTAATACTTAGCTATATGCGAATTATATCACTTAAGACTGCACATACTGACTGGGAGCTGACTTTAAAAAAAACGTCTCGAATTTTGTTTAGTTTTTTTATAACTTTTCATTAAGTTGTTTTAAAAGTTTTTTTCAAAAGAAATAATTTTCTTTTGACCTTAAATGCAATCCATAGATTGAAGGCTTGCCCTGATACGTGCTGTCTTGATTATTTATCTGCTTGTTATTCCGACTTTCGAAAAAAAAACAGAACTTTCATTCTTGGGGTTCATCTATTCTTCAGTCAGGTTTCAGAGATCAGCATTGTGATTTTTAGCATCAAATTTATAACCCATTGAATATGGGGACTCCCTAAAATTAAATACAAAAAGATATTTTACTTCCATCAGTGTTTGCAAAGTTCTAGGATTTTGAAAATTGTCAATTTCTGTTCTCTAATAATGCATGTTGATCGCGCTTTGAAGATCTTTTGCTTTAACTGTAGCTCAAAAATTTATGCGTGGCGAATTAAAACTCTCATTAAAACTGTTTCAAACTGAAATGATGCTTGTTAATTGGTCGTATTTGTTTTGTGCGACTCAAATTTTCAAACTTGATCTTTGATATTGACCCAAATTTATAGTTTTTTAATATTTTTTCTTTGCCAAAAACTATTCGATATCAATTAAGGGGCAGTCGCGATATACGGAATACTCGGTTTTTTGCCTTGGTGTACGATCAGTCTCGTTTGCTAGAGATTTTTTTGCTACAGACACTAGGAAACATACAAAAAAATTCTGAGTGCCTTTCTCATTGTGCAAAACGGCGTTTACTTAAAATTGATGACATTTTCTATTAGTAATTGAATCAAACAAGGCCAACTGCTAATAAAACAAATTCGAACAAAGTCAGTCTGGGAGGTTTTTGTAAGGGCTACCTTATATGTGGAGAAGACAACCAAAAAAACTTGCGGAAGAAGGCAGCAAATAAGAGATACTGATAAATACATACATCCAAAGCCCGCCTAGTCTGTGCACCCAAAAACATTTTTGAAATATGATGTTTTTGATAAGCGGAGGAAGGAAGAAGACCGCCCATTAAAAATATGTTTTTTTAAAAATGCTTTCGGGGGCATAGCCCAGGCGGGCCGTTGGATGTTCTTATTCGTGAGTATCTCTAATTTGCTGCTTTGTTCCGAGAGTTTTTCTGGTTGTCCTCTAACTCAAATGGTAGCACATATCAAATAAAAAGATTGTCTAGGTTCGAGATTTCTCTTTCACTTTTTTGGATTCGTTTTTGAAATAGAAAACTTGGTTTTAAGTAAAACAGTTTTGCACAATAAGAAACGCAGTCAGAACAATAAGATTTTTATGCTTGCGAAAAGTATTTTTTTGTCTCAGGCGAGATGGTGTTTTTGTGATAAAAAGAACAAATCAAGGAAAATGAAGTAGATTGATTTGATTTTGAAACTTTTTCTGATGCAAAAACATCGAATATAAATATCTCTATATTTATGTTTTCAAATATGAATATTGCCGATACATTTTGAAAATTATAAAATTCATTACAAAATTTTAACTCGCACTTGTTACTACAGATGACAAAATATTAGAGGATGACGTTGTATTAACGCCAGTTGTGACTGGTATCAAGTTTTGTTGTTGTTGTTGACTTTGTTGATGTTGATGTTGTCTAGCCATGGCCGCCATTACAGCTCCGATTGAACTTGGGTAGTAAGGGTTACCCGCTGCAATACCTGCTTGGTAATTAGCGGCCGCCGCTGCGTGCAATTGACCAATCAGAGCTGCTTGATTAGTGCCTCCATTTGATGAAGTTAGAAGAGAGTTTTTGAGACCTTGAAGGTCGGCCGAACTTACTGACGAAACTGGGTTGGGTAAAACAGTGTGTGGGTTCGGGGCACCTCCCGCCGATGCGTGATGGCCATACATTTGCAAAGGGACTTGAACAAGTCGTTGAGCGGTGGCGCTGCCAGGATTCGAACCTACTTGCACTGCAGACGCGTTGGCAGCTTCGATTTCAGCGGCGATTTGTCGCTTCCATTTGTTGCGACGGTTTTGAAACCAGATTTTTACCTAAAATGAACAACAAAATTTGTTTAATTAACTTGCATCAATTAAAATTGCAATTCAAAGAGCGAGTTGATAAAATAAGGGTTATTTTAAGCTTCGAATAAAAAATTGTCTTCACGTTTTCGTATATTGCACAAGAAGTGCATTTCCGCATTCAAATTGCAAAAATAGGAGATTGTTTTGCAATTGCTCCCACAGTTTATTTCCGGAAAAGAAGCAATTAATTTTCAGTGACGATAAAAGTTCGATTTATCTCCATCTTTTTTAAATGGAATCGGATTTAAATACACGATTAATAGTACAAAAATTATCCCATGGAAGGAATAACAATAAATTGTCCAACTTGATTAACTTTTGATTGATCGCTTAATGCCTCAAAGGCTTCTTGTCCTTTTTTAAAGTCCAAAATGCAAATTAAATGCCCAATTTTTCTCACTGAGAATCGATAGAAGTGACATGTGGAATATCGTTTATAGCCACAAGTGATTTTTAAAGCCAAATTTTCCAAAAGCTACTTTTTAACTTACAAATTGTTTTCCCAGGCTAGTGTAATTGACCGAAAAAGTGACAACGAGGAGGCCCTATACGGTGATATAAATAATTAAATTTCATTTAAAAATTTATTTAAAAAAATCAATTCAAAATAAAAATATAAATTTATAGTTATATTTAAGAATTCAAAGTACACAGGATATATTGTTTCGATAGAGTTTTGTTTTCTATTATGATTTTATGCTCCCTATAAGCACATGTTAAGGATTACGTTTTTCTCGGCTTTAAAGACAGCTTTTGATTTCTTTTTCTGTCATATTTTCGGTTTGTTTAATTGATAATTCTTCCGACTTTCGTAACGAAAGTAACGGAATATTTGTGCTCGGGGTGGGTTTTTTTTCTTCAGACAAATTCCAATTTTTTAACTAGCCATTTTTGACGGAATTTTTTTCATCATTTGTAAGCTATTGTTGTCTTTAGCTTATATTCGAAAAGATTTTTTTCACCTGTGATCATTTTTCGAAAAGTTATGAGCAAAATCTATCACTTTGTACTTAATATGGATGTTTTCACAAAAAAATCTCAAACTTTCTGGAAAAAAAAATTAATTTTTTTTTATTAAATTTAAATTTTCCATGTTATTCCTACTCTATTGACCTTAAAAGGCAGTCGGAACATTCAGGGCTTCGCCCTGATACGAGCAGTCTTGTTTTTTATAAAGTGAAAAGAAAATTTGTCTTTTTAGCGCATTACATCCGTTTCACTGGAAGAGTACAATGGCAAAATTTGATGGTGAAAGTTTTAAGATCTGCAAAAAAAATACATTCTATAGCCTAAATCTTGTCTTCACTTTTTCATATTTTCATCATTTTTAGCGTTTAATGAGTGCTGTTTAATGAAATGATGATAAAGTCGATTGTATAATTATTTTCTTACTTTTCAAAATATTAATTTTGCTAAGTGACGGCCAATTTTTTCGAAGTTTATAGGTAGCTAAATTGAACCAACCTGAGTTTCAGTGAGATGAAGACTGTTGGCCAAGTTGGCCCTCTCACTACTGGAGAGATATCTCTTGACGTCGAAAGTGGACTCCAGCTGGAACACCTGACTCCTGCTGAACACTGTCCTTGTCTTCTTCTTTCTCTTCTCCCCCTCTTCATCGTCAAGCTCATCCTCACCATCTCCCCCACTCTCATCATTCACTCCACCCATTCCCCCCATTATGACGTCATCGCTATCCTCAATCAAATCAGAACACGCGTCTTGATTCATCATTTCGTCATCATCGTTATCGTCCTGATGACTCGCAGTGCCATCGCCCCGGTGCGCACCTACAGTCGTTGCACTTTTAGATCCTCGGATACTCTGATTGGTCACGTGGTTTGTCACGTGGCCCACAAAATCTCGCACGTGACTATTGTTACTGTCCTCGCGGTTGTTTTGTTTGTAGTTGCTCTGATTATTTGCACGGTTTCCGGTAGACGAATGGTCTCCACCTCGAATTTGACTCGCTGCAAGAGTCGATACGACGCTGGTGATGTCGAGTGATTTCGGGTTCGAAAGAGCGGCAAGAGGAGTCGTAGGGGTGTGTATGCTAGATGTATATTGGGATGTTTTCGGTGGGATTACTCCACTGGATTTAGAGGCCAAACCTGCTCCCAATTCAACAAATCCAGGCATCAAAGGTAGTTTACCGACTCCGTCTAAAACAAAATATAAAAATTAATATATTTGATATATTTGCTTTAACCTCCCAAAGCTCCTAAATGTATAGATAAAATTACTGCGCTAATTTCGTGCTCACTCAAGACTTTCCTGAAAGTTTTTTATGTAGAAATTAAGCAGCTGTACTGCGTAATTGTCTTTTTCCACAATCATGTCAAGTTTTGTGAAACCATGTCTTTCCACAAAGTCTTAGCAAAAAAAAACAATTTTCTATTTTACAGATGTGAGAAAAAAGAGCATCGGAATTTTCAAAATGAAAATGGCAGCTTGCAAAAACTCACCATTGGCGTGTTTCTGAGCAAAATTGTTTGTCAATTGTTGCAGATTGTTTGCAAAGTGCTGCTGGAAAATCGGACTGGAGTTTTGAGGCATCATTCCATTTTGGCCCGACAACAGAGCCCAAGGCGAGTACCACCGCAACAAAGCTGCCGCTGCTGATTCATTCAATTGAATATCTGCCGGTTGAACAAACTGCCCACCGAGAGCTGTAGGGGTCAACCCGGACACTGAAGCCGGTCCTGATACTGGCGGTAACCCTACTCCTGGGGACCCTGCATGTCCTGAGAGGCCCTTCAGGAGTCCCGATTGTTGCAAGAGTACCTCTGCTTGCGGCAACGCAAGCAGTGGGTGCAACCCGCTGAGCGCCGGATTATTATGAAGACCCGGCACTCCTGGAAACTGATTCTTGGAAGCACTTGTTGGAGTCCCAGAAACGGGAATCGAACTGATCGGCGAAATCGGAAAATTTTTCCCCCAACTTAGTTCAGGACCAGAAGTTGCAATCGTGAGATCCTTTGACAGGTTTTTGAGAGTTTCTTGCAGGTTCAAAGTTTTTGAGTTCAGAATGTCGGCAATTGAAAATCCAGACTTTCCCAAAGTTGGTGATTCGAGATCAGTTTTATTTTCAGAAAGTGTTTCAGACATATTGAAGAATGAAAAAATGGGTAGAAGTTTTCAAGAGGGTTTTGGTTGAAAAGTACTGAACTGGCAATTGTTTATTTTTTGGCAAGTACTTGTTTTCAAATTTGAAATATGTTTATTTAGTTGACAATGGAGTTAGTATACTTGAGAGTGATAAAATGCTGTAATAACTGATAAGAAAAAGGCTCTTGTACTTTTTCAAGTGTGTGCTTCAATCAAATCACTACACCTTGATAGCTCCTTTCTTATTGGCTAACACTTCTTTTTCAGATGGATTTGAGATTTTATAGGGTTTTCATTGGGCTTTATAGTTGTTATTATATTTGTTAAAGAGCGGGTTTTAATTTGATGAAAAAAGGAAGTAGAAAAGTGGGGAAAATGGGAGTTAATTGACACTTTATTGAGGTATTTCAAGGAAGTGTATATAAGTATTGGACTAGTTAATGATGTTATAATAAAGTAGTTATATCTGATTATATTTTGATTAGGCCCCACTTTGTAAGATTTCTCAGATTGATGTTTTCGTTCACTTTTCAATCTAAATCCTGTCTATTTCCTGTCCGTTCTACTGATAGCCTAATTAAGCGCTAATTGTTCCTCAATATCATTACTTATACTTCATAACCATCAAAACACTCTTTTTAGTTCCGATTCTTCTCTGACCAATGGACCCTGCCACAGTCCTGAAATCTAGAAAAAAGACTGTATAAGCAATTTTTCGATTGAATCCTCAAGTCCAATTCGAATTTGACTAGTTGTGAAAAATTGATTACTGAAAGCTTGTAGCAGTTAAAATAGCAATGAACTTGAAGGAGATCAAACTTGGCTGCAAAGTTTTTTGTTTTCCTTCATTTATTTTTTTTAGAAAAGCTTCTCAATTTTACAAAAACATAAGTTATGAACGGTAGGGCTATAATTACTAACAGCCCGGGTTGACGTCCATAAAAGAAAAATGCTTATCATACAATTTCATAAATTGCGACTATGGAAAAATGCTTATCGTACAATTTTCATACAAAATTTAAAAACTGTATTAAGCGTTTTTAGAGAAATATTTCTGTTCTATTTCCATCTTTTGAATCTTTCTGCTCAATAAAATTATGATTTTAATTTAAGTCAAAAAAATGCATATGCTAACATTTTCATATATGAAAACTGTATGATAAGCATTTTTCTATAGAAAAAATAAAAACTTCAAAATCAATTTAACGATGTATCTGGATGATTTTAGTTTTAAAAAAAATTTTGTTGAAAGAATGCACTTCGACTCTCAAAAACATGATTTTAATTTTTGTCAAAAAAATGCTTATCATATAATTTTCATATATGAAAATTGTATGATATGCATTTTTTAATGAGCAAAAAAACAAATTTGAGGTAGAAAACTTTTAATCCCTGGTTGCATGCAAAACCATTTAAAAAAAGGTTGCATGCAAAATTTGACTTTTGTGTTTATAACATAGTCCAGAATGAGTTTTTCACCCAAAAAATCCAAAAATCACAGAAAAGTGTTTTTTTTGTATAAACGATTATGATTTTTTAAATTCATTTGCTAAGAAAAAAAAGTAAATTCTTAAGGATGTAAGAAAACACGCTTTTTTTTATCAACTACCAAAGTTTAAAAACCAAAAATTATCTAACCATATACAAAAAGTTACAATTTTGGTATATAATTACATGTGTAAATGTAAAAATTAACGTAGGCGGCAAAAATCACCAAATGCAGTTTATCTGCGTGGGTTTTCTTATGACAAAAATCCAGGGTTAGTGTTTCGGATGAAACATAAAATTTCAAAACAAATATTTTTTGGTGTTTTCATTTATGGAAAAAATGCTTCTCATACAATTTCATAGTAAAGAAAAAATGCCTATCATAAAATTTCATAGTATGGAAAAAATGCTTATCGTGCTATTTTCATAGTATTTTTTTTGGTCTATGAAATAGTATGAAATACACGGGAGGCGAATAAAATGTAAGCTGCGCCTACATCCGGCACGAGAGAAGTAATGCGCTTGAATCAGTGCTCCTTGCTTAATCTACTGTAACGAATTGTCGCTTGTTACGAATTGTTGCCTGTTAAGAACTGTCGCCTATTACGGTTTGTCGCCTCACGGTTATGAACACAACAACAGTAACAATTTTTTTGGGTCCAACTGTGTTACTGGAAGCGACAAAAATCAACTATTACGCAGCCTGGTTTTTTATTATCTCAAGGAAAACTGTAACGAAAGTATAAAAGGGGCGGATCTAGTATTTTCTCAAGGGGGTGGATTTTAAAAAAAAATTTTTTTGAAAATTGTCGAATTTTTTTCAAGGTCGATCAAATTTTTTCCGAGCTCTCGCAAATTGCTATAAGTTTTTTTTGACCAATATTGCTGTACCGCAGATGGATTTTTGGAAAAAGATACCAAAAAAGCGTTTCCAGGCACTTTTTGGAAAGTTTTGATCAAAGTTTGCGTTTTTCCACATCCGCATCCGCCTTTTATATGTATTGGCGCCTTCAGAAAAAAATAAGGGCCGATCAGCCAAAAATGGGTTTCTTAAAATAGAACCGAAGGGGATAGAGTCCCCTAAAACCGCTACTGAATTATAGTATCAAACTTTAACGCTAGTGGCCTTGATTCAGATTTCAAAAAATTGAGTCTCGAGAAAAATTGGTCTGATTTTATGGCAACTCAGATGGTACTCAATACAGCAAAAAGCGAATATAATTCATAGTCTTAAATAGCCGGAAAACTATCAGTCTATTTTGTTTTTCTAAGAAATTACGTCCTACAGCTAATTGAATAATCTGTTTCGAAAGCAAATAATAACCTTGATGTCAACCCTTTAGATGGCAAAAGGTGGAAAACTCTTTTCAAAACAAATGGACTTCGTGTTATAGTTTTAATTTATTTTAATTGTTTTCTCCCAAAAAGATCCTCCAGTAAACGTTACAAGTATTGGAGAAATGATTGGCTATACGTTTTACAAATCAATTCCAATTTGTGCTCAAATTAAAATCACAGAGGCGTCAATTTTTAATGCGAATATTTCAAAAGGGCTTTTCTAATACTTGGAGGACTTTTTGAATAAAAAAATGAAATCTCAACTATGGAAGCTATTAAATTATTTGATTTTACCATTAATTTTAGCATCTAAAATTGCTAATTTTCTCATGTATCTGAAAATATTCTCAAAATTTTTTTTAGGTTTCGACTACTTTTGAAGAAAATGACGAAATATTTGTGCTCGGGGTTTTTTTTTCTCCAGACATATTTTGACTTTTTAGTTATTAATTTTTGGCGGAATTTTTGAAAATCAGTTGTAAGTTATAGTTTTCATGAGCTCAAATTTAAAAAGATTCTTCACTTGTGATTATTTTTTGTAGAGTTATGGGGCTTTAAGGACAGCTATTATGGCCAAGTTGGGACATTTGAAGAGCGATATATTTTGCCCTATTAATGCGTAAGTGGAGATTTAATACTTCTTAGAAATCATTCCAAGAAACTGATTGAAGCAGGCTACTTGTGATGCTTTCTACATCTAATCTACCACTTTGTAATTAAAATGGCATGTGTGGGGGATGATTTTCCGCAAAATCTCAAATCTTTTTTTTTAAATTTCATTTGGAAAAAAATGCTCCATAGACCTTGAAAGGCCGTCGGAACATTCAGGACTTTGCCCTGATACGAGCAGTCCTGAATGGATTTATATATCAGGAAACAAGAAACAATCTAAGGAGAAGAGTCTTTCGTATTTGCTGTTTGTATTTTTATGAAGGTGATTACTTGATCCATTTCAACAATTCAAAAATATTTTTTGATGGTAGATTATTTGATAGTTAAATGTGATCTTGTATTTTAGGCCAAATCACTGAATGTACCACTAAAACACTGGTACTTCAATTAAGTAAGCATTCATTTTGTATGTTGCCCCCTAAAATTTTTAAGCTAGCAAACTAATGAACGGAGCTAGTGGCAAGTTTGTAAACAAACTTTTGTCGGTCTATTTACTTTTCCATTGAAATATTACTGTTCCGACCATTAAGAATGAGGAAGAACTTTGTAATCGAGTGCGTTTTAATTTTTTTCTTCTTTACTTTCCACGCAAACTCAGCTACCACAAAAATCATTGGAATGAGTCAAGTAATATATTATATTATAGCTTTTTTAGTCGCAATGTGATCGGTTTTACAAAGTTTAGAACATTTGCATTCAGTGTCAAAAAAGTTTGCTTCAAAATTTTTTGATTTTCAGTTCAATTTCGAGCGAGTAAAACGATGGAGCAACGATCTATAAAAATTTACTTTAGACTAAAAAATCTGAATCAGTTTTGAATGTATAAACTACTGCTTTCTTGGCAAAAAAGACTTTAAAAAATTTTGTGCACAAATGGTTTCAAAAATTTAAATTTTTTCGTTTTTTGTTTTTCATTCTTTTTTGAATACAAATGTTGTCAATCCCAATTTAAAAAAGGTAACAAAAAACAAAACAATTTTATTTGTATGAAATGCATACTTTAGACATATATTTTTTTCAGAATTAATACACGCTTGGGGAGAGCATTCTACGATAGGTCACTTAGGGGGGGGGGTTGAGATTGTTCGGTTGTTCCCTATAAAGTTTTAAATATTATTGATTTTAAATGTTGGGCTGGTCCGAACCCGAACCAACAAATATTGTCAGAAAAACATATTTTTAAGCAAACTTGTTGTCCTGATTTTCGAAAACAGTTAAAAATAATTGTGCTCGCAGTTTATGACAAACCCTCAGAACTTTACAAAAAATAATCGGAGCTAAAATATCTTTTTACATTTGCGCTCTGGATGTTGATACCTTGAATGGGGTAAAAAAAATTGTGTCGAAACCTATTATTTCGATTGGCGAAAATTGACTGAATAAAAGAAAAATCACACCGAGCATAAATATTCCGTTTTCTTGGTGATTTGCATGTCGTATCGGAGTGCCAAATTTCCATTGAGCCAGAGTTTTAAAATTCATTTTGAAAAACGTTCGACTGGGATCTTATTTAAGGATACCAATTATCATTAAGGAAATCAGTCATGTTAACACAAGTTATTCAGATTCCTTTATCATCGTAATATGTTTTTTTTCGCCTTGCATACCAGGCTGATCACTTTCACTTTTAATAGTCTTTTGATGACTGTTTTTTAACAATCAAATTTGCTGATAAAACGTTCCGAAGTTTACATAAGGCAAAGTCTGCGTGTTACGATATTATATAACGAATCCGAACGGATTAGAAGACCAAAGAATCTCTCGTATTTAACTCTGAAACAACAACAATTTCACAACGTTTGTTAATTTTTCTGAACCACAGGGCTCAACAACTGCCACTCCTTGGAAATCTATTCATAACACTTTTTTCTACACACTACATAAGTTTAGAATCAAAGTGGCCATTCCGGTGGGATGAGAGAAGAAAGCTACAGCCTGCAGAAGGCTTTCTTTTGCGACCCATTTTCGCTGTAAATATCATTTG